TGTCCAGTCCAGCTTCAATGTGCGAGGCGGTGAGGGCGCGGGAAGGACGGGAAGAAGCCGCGCTCACGGCACAGCGGGCGGCGACAGCAACAGGGCGGCCTCCAAAGTGTCTCAGAAACGTGCGGCCAGGGACAACCCGACAGGCATCAGGCGCGGGAGGCCAGGCGGGGGCGGCCGCTCCCATCTCCTCCGGCAGCTGGGCGGCGGCAGGCGTGGCCGCTCCCCGGGGACACCCGTCCTGCGGTGCCTTCCCTTCGCTCTCCTCTGTGGAGCTCTCCCCACAGGGGCACTCGCTCCCACCCTCTTCCTCACACTGCCCGGCCTTCTCCTCAGCCGCGACCCAACCCCAGCGGCTGGCCGCCCGCGGCCCCTTTCTGCTCGCAGCTGCCGTCCCAGGGGCATGTCCCAAGGGGCCGCCCTTGCACCTGCGCGCGCACCTCCGTGCTGCGAGGCTGCGCGGTGCCTTCGCCTGTCTCCCAGCGGGAACGGCAGCCTGGATCAGAGCCCCCCATTCTTGGGAATCGCCGCCCGGAAAGCACCCCACGCCGGCCTGTCTTAGCCTCACAAACCGGACTGTGCACATTTCGCAGCCGCAACGTTTCTAAAGCCCCGCCCCCAGGCCTTGGTGCTGCTGTTGGCCATTAACTCTGCGCCTCAGCCTTCCCCTGAGGCTCCCCTCCTCCTTCCCAGAGACCCCACAGCTCCCCAGATTCGGGGCATCTGTTTGCGGAATGCGCCTCCCTCTGGCCTTCCCTGGTGTTTCTTCCGAACAGGACCGGGGCCGTGCACTGCCGGCCGGCGACCGCCCCGCGCAGCTGGAGGTGCAGGCACGTGCATCCTGCCGGGGACGCCGCGGGGAGCGCCGAGTTCTGTCCCGAAAGCTCGGTCCCCTCCTGCCTCGTGCTTTCCGCTTCCTTGCCCCCTGTGTCCCACACCTTCTGTGTGGTTTCTCCAGATGCACCTTCCCATTCTCTGTGTCTTTCTGCGGATGTGCCCAATTTGCAGTTTTCACCTGGGCGTTGTCTCGCTAATTTTAACTATTAATAAGCGCATGTCCAGATTTTTTTGGCAATGTCCCGACTGATTCTGAAGCTGTTCCGTTCCTTCGTCTTTCACGTAACGTGTCTATCTCACGGGCTGTACCTGTCGGCTCAGACGTCCCTGGCCTCCTGGTGTCTGGGCTGTGTCTTCTTCCCGCTGTTCCGTGGCTCGTCCGTGGGCAGCGGCCCAGGGCGCCTTTTCTGCCCTCGCAGGGTCTGTGGCGAAGCTGCCAGGATGGTGGAGCCCAGGGGCACCGACAGCACAGCGCCACCCGGCAGCCTCCGTTTCTGGTTGGGTTTTGGGGGTCACGCCAGCAGTGAAAGCTCAGCCTCAGCCGGGGCAGCGAGCTCCTGGGGAAGGCCTTCCCTTCGCCTCCCCCCATGCGCCGCGGACGCCGAGCCGGGCTCACAGGGACCCTCTCCCTGTGCAGCACAGCCTCCTGCTCGTCTCTTCCAGCGACCACACGTGCCCTCCTGTGGGCGGCCTGGCTCCACTTAAGCGGGGAAGGGGGCGGGTGCCAGCGTCACCTCCTCGCTTAGTTCCAGAGCCTTCCTTCTGCTGTCAGACTCTGGACCGAAGGACGAGCACCCCCTGCAGTGGCGGCTTGCGCCCCGCCTGCCCCGGCCCCTGGAAGTCCGGCTCCTCTCTTCGTTCAGCCGTGGAACTGAGGCCGTGCCTGGCTTCCCGCCCATCACTTCCCGGCGGGCTGACTTGCAGGGAGTCTCTGCACCTGCGGACGCCACGCGGCCACCCCAGGGTCCTCGGGCTCCCGAACGAGGCCAGGAGGAGACACGCTTTCCGGGTTAGCAGAGGCGGCCACATTGAATAATAATGCTTAAAAAGAGACCTACGTTAAATTTTAGTTTCTTCAACGATAAAACAGAGTTAACAATCACAGAATCGGCCCCCCGAGCCGCCCAGGAGAAGGGGTTACTGCATTCGAGAGCCCTCGTTTTTCCAGGCCACCCAGAGGGGACCCCAGTCCTCACATCCTGCGCCAGAAAGAGCTGGATGCCTCCTCTACCGTCCACCCACCAACAGGTCAGAAAAAATTAACCCTGTTAAGTCTGGTTAGTTTATTTTCTCTCTCTGTGTGACGACGACTCCACAACCCAAAACCCTTCAAACGAGCCCGTTTTGCTGCACGTTTCTCTGACAAGACCCTCCCACTGCTGATGGGAGATGTCTTCACGGGCCGACCCTCAGCGCCTCAGAGAAGGTTCTCAAGGTAAACCCAGGGGCGCGTGGTTCTCACGTGGAGCCACACTAGTCAGTTCTACCTTGAGCATCCGAAACAACAGGGCAGCTCCACATGGTAACGAGGCCTGTTCTGAGAGGCCACGTTCCTGAATGCACAGCACCCTGGGGACGTCTCCCTGGAATTTGCCATGTCTGGCCAGGCTGAGCTCTGCGGGACCGGAGAAGAGCTCACTCAGCAGGCGCCCACGGCCCGCTGTTTCAAAGCCCGTGCGGAGTCGCGCCAACCGAGCATAATCAGGCCGCCCAGGGGCCGCGGCCATGGAGGTGTTCCGTCCGCACCTCCCGAGGGCACCGGCCGGGTTCCGCCGGGGTCCCTGCTCTGCTGGCCGCCTCCCGGCCCTGCGGCCGGGGGGCCACCGGTGGGGGGGCCAGTCGGGAAGCGCCTTGGACAGCAGAGTCACTGCTGGGCGGCAGGTTCTGGGCGGGCTGCGGCCCTCGGCGACGCGGCGGCTATTCTCGGGCTCCCACGGCCAGCCCCTCGGGCGGAGCCTCCTCTGGGAGGGACCGTGCTGGCTGCAGAGTCTCAGCTGGTTCCTCTCCCGCTTCCTCTGGCTCGTTAGGCTGCGCTGGTGCATCTTCATTCCATGCAGCTCTCCTCCTTGCCGCTGCTCTTCCGTCCAAGCCTCTCGGCGAGTTTCCAGACAGGCACGCTTTCCGAGGGCCCCTGTGTCCCAGGCGTTCGGTTCCCGAGGCCTCCGCCCGTCTCCTCTGCTGCGCCTCAGGATCGATGTCCACACCTCCCTCCCTGGCTCCCCTGCCTGGACTGACCGTCCAGGTTCTGAGCACAAGCCCTGGCTGGCAAGTGGGAACCGGCCTCCTGCCCCCGCAGACGGCCCAGGCCCTGCTCACAGAGCCAACTGCCCACTCCCTGCCCACGTGCGCCTCCGCGGCGCTGAAGGCCACCAACTCACGGAACGGCCACGGCTCCTGCCTCTTCTTTCCAATCTCCAGACTCACGTGGCCTCCAGGCACCGCGGGCCACCGTCAGCGTGCGCACACCAACGGCGTGGACAGGGCCTCTCGGGAGGCCACTGCCGGGGCCACTGGCTCCTGGTAGGTTCCCTCCCAAACGTGCCCACATCTTGGGGACGGCTGCCTCGCCCCTGCCTGCCCTGCGCTGTCTGCAGCCCAGCTCCCCGCTCAGGGCCTCACAAACAGTGACGCGTTGAGCATCTGCTGTGTCGGGACGGGCGAGGGAGCGAGCAGGCCCGGCATGCGGCAAGGAGGGAGGCTGAAGGGGCAGGCAGGTGAGAGAGCGCGGAGCACACGTGTGACCCACTTGGGAACAAAGCTGAAGGATGAGACGACGTGGCCCGAGACCCCACGGCTGCACGGACACACACACGGAACGTGGCAGAGCCCAGGGCCCAGCCTCAGGGGGGCCAGCGGCCTGTGCACAAGGGCTCCGCGGGGCGAGGCGCCGCAGCCGAGCGCTGCGCGTCCTGCATTCTCGGACACCACGAGAAGCGACGTGGGAGGGCGCAAGGAGGGAGGCCTCCAGGTGTAACGGTCTGTGCAAAGGCACAAAGCAGAAGCTGTGAACATGAGCTACGGGTGCAGCAAGTTCCACGTCAGACACGAGATGCGTGAGGCGCTCGAGCAGTTCACGCCAAACAGGAGGGTTTTTTGGTCAAGATTGCGAGTAAGCCTTTAAAAGAGAAATACAACCAGCGGAAACCACGTGAAAGAATAAGTCACAGCTACTCAGGGGGCACAACTCAGTCATACCACAAATGTTTACTGAGCGACTCTAGGAAACCAGGTAAAAATCTCCACGGGGGAAGAAATAAAGTAAGCCGCAGCGTCCACGACACGCTGTCCTAGGAGGCGCGGGCGCCACGCTCCACGCCAGGCAGACTGCCGCTGCCTGCCAAGCTCCAGCCTCCACGGGGCGCCCCCCATCGCCGCCCCCGAGCAACGCGTCCGCGCCCCCGGTCGTGCCTGGGCTGCCCTGGGAGCTGGGCACAGGCGTGCACACGCTCACGCTCTGCCTGCCCCGGGCTCACGGCAGACCACCCACCCCCTGCACGGCCTGTCCTTCCAGGGTGTCGTGGGGCCCGGAAGGCCTGGCCCTGCCCAACCTCTCTGTGACCCCGGGTCCGGGGCGCTGTCTGTGTTTGTGCTGCGGCAGCCGCGGCCCCAGGTTGCCAGAGGCAGGTCTCCGGGGTCCCTGAGCCCCCGTGTCCTGGGACTGTGCCCCGAGAGAGGGCGGCTGTGCTGCGAGGAGGCGGCTCCAGAGCCACTGCCGCTGGGCTGTTCACAAACATGCAGACTCCCGGCTTCCTCCCCCAACCCCGGGGGTCAGAAACGGAGCCACCCTCTGACCGCTGGCCTCGCCGCCGGGGAGGGGGCCAGCCCAGCGCCCAGCGCGCGGGCCAGGACCCGGCCGTGGTGGCAGCCCCGCCAAGCAGGGGTCTGCCCAGGACGGCCGTCACCCACGGGGAGGAGCCAGGACGTGATCTCAGGCGGCCCGAGCTGAGGGCCCGGATCCCAGTCATTTTCTGCTTCGCCAGTCACCCGTCTGACAGCTCGGCTTCCTTTGTGAACACTTGTGAACACCTGTGAACTCCCTGCCGGCCCGGGCAAGGGCGGGGAGGGGAGCCAGCCTTTCCCGTGCCTCCTCCCTCGCCCTCCCCACCCGCCTCCAGCTTCCACTGCAGCAGCCGGGACAGCCCCGCCGGGAGCGCCCGCACACTCACCTGAAGGGCCCGCAGTTCAGGAGCACGAGGGCCAGCAGCACCATCACGCAGACGGCCCTGCGCTTCGGGCTGGGCACTTTCAGCCGCTGGTTCTGCGGAAGGGCCGTGAGGCAAGGTCAGGCTGCGGCCAGCACACCGGGAGGCCTCCCCGGCTCTGTCAGTGCTGGGCCACGGGGCCCGGCTCGAAAGCAAGCCCACGGCACTTTCCAGAAGCCCAGGGCAGCCTCCCCGCTCCCTCCATTGGCCGGTCAACAAGCTGACACCCCCCAGGTGCTCCAGCAGCCCGTCCTGTCCCCTCAACCCTGGGCCCAGCGACACGGGGATCTTCCTGCGGTGGGGTGGGCAGCAACGGGTCGGGGAGGAGCCCACCTGCCGAGGCAGCGGCCGCAGGGTCCAGGACAGCCCTGCGGCCCCAAGGGCGCCCTGCAGGCAGACGGAGGTTCACTGGCCTGGGGGCGGCGCGGTACCGTGCGAATGCCAGAGCTGTGCTCCAGCGGGACCGGCAGAGACAGACGCGTTCACGCGCGCCGTTCCCCTTCCTACGGGGGCAGCCCCGGCGGGACTGTCCGGGCCCTGCCCTTCCAGCGGATGTCTCGGGGCTCGCTGGCCCCTCCTGATGCTGTTACTTCACACGACTTCATCCTAAACGTAGCTTCCCCACCCACTTCTGGGGCAGCAAGGACCCCTGGCCCGAGCCGGGCCCTCCCGCCGCACTCACCTCCGACACGACCTGGTCCAGCTGCCGCTTCAGTGACCCGTTCTCCTTCCTCAGCTTCTCATTCTCGGACAGGGCGGCCCTGAGCCTGGCCTCCAGCCCCAGCATGTACTCCTTCTTCTTCTTGCGGGACTGGCAGGCCGACTCCCGGTTCTTGATCATCCGCTGCTGTCTCCTGAGCACAGCGATCTAGGGGGGTGGCCAGGAGTCAGGGTACCCCAGTTCCAAGGAGAGCAGCCCTGGGTCAGGGCACCCCAGTTCCAAGGAGAGCAGCCCTGGGTCAGGGCACCCCAGTTCCAAGGGGAGGGGCCGTGAGCCAGGGCGCCCCGATTCCAGACCCTGACCAGGCCAGAAAAGGCTCATTTTCACTTATTTTTAAACGACTGTTCAAAACGTGTTACTGGGTGTTTCAAGATACGTTTTTTAAAATGTGAATCGAACCGAAGTCAGTCAATTAAACGAGGCCTTCTCAGCCTAACGAGACGCGACGTCTGCTTTCCAGGCCCCTCCAAAGTCCCGCTAGAAACTCCGAGAAGGTGCCTGATGTGCCCTGCCCCTCACACAGGCCTGTGGGCTGTGGTCGGGCCCCGCACCGGCTGGCCACGTCCCCCATCCACGGCCCCGGGCAGGCGCGTCCCGTGCGCGCCCACTCACCCCCGCCCCCTGGCTGCTTCTCTCCGTCCTCTGGGTGATGAGACTCGGGCACAGAGGGGAAGCTGGCGGAGCTCAGGTCTCTGCCACTCGCCGCGCGTGGACTGCCCCGGCCCCTCCCTCCCATGCAGGGCCCCCAGCCTGTCCCTGGGCTTCGGCAGCAGCCTCCTCACCACTTCAGCCACCCGGAATCGCTTCCCGTCCACCGCTGCTAAGAACACTGACCTCCTGCACCCCAGGAAAATCAGGTCCCTGTTGCTCCTGTACTGAAAAACGACCCTGGTCCAGCACCCCTGCTCCCCCCGCGGCTCCCCCGGCCTCCACGATGTGGCCGCCCCCCCTCCCCCGGCCCCGCTCAGGCTCCGCCCACCCGGCACGTCGCCATGGCTGCCTGCCTCGCCCGCGCTCTCCAGCGCTCGCCCGCCTCGAAGGAGCCCCCGCGCTGTGCTGCGGACCCGCCGCGCACTCTGCTTTCCTCTGAGCTCCTCAGGCCCCGCGGCCTCGGCTGCCTCAGGGGGTCAGCGTTCTCTCTCCATGCAGGTTATCACCAGAACATGTAACACCCACTCACTGCCCGCAATACCCTCCAGAGCGAAAACTCACTAAGGCGGGTTCCGGTGCCGTGTGTCTCCTACACGAGGTGACGGAGCCGCTCGTGACGCGGGCTTCAGTTATTGTGGGGGTGTGTTGTGGGGGTGAGTGGCAAAAATAAGTCCATGAGAAGCACTAAGTGATATTTTGATTACTATACAAAGATGACTGAGTTACTGGCTTCTGTGTGCAATGACTTATAAGCAGTCTCCTGTGGAGTGTTCAGTGACTATTCTTGATGAGACCAATAAATAAAATTAAACAATTTAATTTTTTAAACAATAACAATACAGTTCCCACCCCACATGTTGCCCAGAAACAGCCACAGCAAAGCCAGCCAAGCGATCTCTGCGCCAACGGCCCCTCAGCAGGGTCCGGGGAGGAGACACGCCACACGGGGTTTCGGGAGAGGGCGCTTTGTCCATTTCTGTTCTTTTTTGAAAGTCACAAGAACACTGACTTACGTCACCATCACCCGTGAAAGTCCCCTCTGGAGCAGCCACCCCCTCGTCACCCACGCCACGCACATGCGCACACATATGCATACACAGACCCACATGTACCCATGCACGAGTGTGCTTCCATGGATGCGTACACACACGTGCACCCCCACGCAGACACACCTGAGTGCATGGGCGGCTCCCCGATGCCACGCTGTCTTCTGCACAGGACCGCCCCGCCCCGCCCCGCCCCTCCTGCTGCAACTCCCACGGGCCCCTGGCGGTGAGGGCGCCCGTGTGCCCAGGGCCCGGCTGGGACAGAAAGCGGACGCCCCGACGGAAGGACGTGCGCTCCAAGTCAGAGAGGGGGCGGCTTCCGCTCGCCACCCATCGCGCAGGGCGTCCGGGGGGCTCGCGGCAGCGTGCCGCTCCACCGTCCCCATGGGGCCGGGCCCCCACGCCCGACGAAGGCACCTGCGGGCACCCAGCACCACGGCCTCAGAGCGGGGTTGCAGTGGGTGCTCACGCCCCGTCCTGCAAACCACAAACCGCCTGCGGCCACACACGCCTCTCTTCCCTTGGAAAAGACACAATCCAAGGATCCTGAAATACATGCTCAAAACAACCCATAAATACGAAGAATGAAGACAGTGAAAGTAAGCGAAGCCCGCAGGAACCCAAACACAGAGTTCCGACGGCACTTGCAGCCGGCTCTCTTCGGCTGTCTGAACGCAACGCTGGAACTGCCCTGTGCTTCCGGGGCGAAAAGGAGTCACGCCGCCAGCCCACACACAGGCGCCGGCAGACGCGGGCACGCACGACCCCCGGCGTCACAGGAAGGCAGCGGCGGGCTCCTCCCGCACTCCCAGTCAGGGCTGCAGCTGCCGGCCACCACGCCTTCGTCCTGGGCTGTCCCCCTTTAACCAGTCGGGTGTCCCCTCAGCTGCCTGCAAACCGGCAGCGTTCAAAGGGTGGGCACACCCTTCAGCGACAGCCAGCCACCGACACTGTCCCTGAAAACACCTGCCATTCCCTTTTGTCAACTTCCTCTTCACACAGCATTCTGTGCATATAACGCACGTTTTTCACGTGAGGCAGCCTCGCACGATGCGGTGAGGTCTGCCCTGGACAAGGGCGAGGCTTGGTTCCTGCCTCTTGGAAAAGCAGCGGGTTCCCGAGGCTCCACACCGACCGTGGTGCCCTCACTCATGAGACTCACAGGCTGAAGCCTTGAGCCGTCCACGCGGCACGGTCTCCGGGCAGGAAGACCAAGCTCCCATCTGGGGCGCTAGGGGGTCCCCTGCACACCCCGTCCCAGCGGCGGGCACCTCGCATCCCGAGACGACTCTGGTGACCAGCACGGGCCCTCCCAAGGGTAGGGGCGGAGGGGAAGGGCCGAGGTCACCAAGGAAAGGGTCAGAGAAAGGAGCAAGGTAAGAAAGGGTCTGGAGGGCGGGCCGAGAGGGAGGCCTGGGCTCCGGTCCCTGCAGCTGCGGCCCTGACCGGCGACGCCGGCGCGTGCTTGGTCGCCTCTCCCCCTTGTTCTCTTCTTCAATTCCCACGAAGAGGTCTTGCTCCGCCCTGGCCACTGGGGGGGGTGCACAGCACCATCCCACCACCTTTTCCCCTGGTCTTTCCTGTCCCAGTAACGAAACCGTGCAGCTCCATGACCGCAAGCCAGGGCCGCGGCGTCTGCTGGCCTCCGTGGAGACGGGGGGCAGGGGGCGGGGGCAGCACAGGGGGACACAGAGCTCATCGGCGCACCTGGGCCCCCCGCGGGCAGGCGGGGGCGTCCGATGGCCCCGTGCAGCCACAGGGGCAGGCTCCTCGGCACGGGCGCCTCAGCCTACGCTCAGCGCGGGCACGAGGGCGTCCTGTCCGAGATGGGGGACGGGCTCACATTTTCCATCGGGATCAGGGCCAAAAGCAAACCGTGTTTCTTGAAAGCCTGGGCGAGGCTTCCAAGCCTTAAGCAGAACGGATTTACCAGCAAAGGCAGGAAGAGCGAGATTACAATGTGAACCGCGTGGCCGTGAGGCAGCTGCAGGCCAGGAAAGGCGTGCCAGGCACGCACTCTGGGCGCGGCGGCCGCCAGGGAGCTGCCCCGGTCGGACGGGGGCCACGTCCGCGGCCGAGGCCCCACAGCACTGTACGCTGTTTCTTTCTTTCATTCCTTTTCTTCCTGCTGAATTCCAACTTTTTCACCACACTTTTTGTACAAAAGGACAAGGAACACATCACAAAAATGTTTTCCTTTGACCATTTTGCACCAGGAATGTACACGAATCGCAACGAACCCTAACTGGACTGGACACGAGCCTCAGCGACACAGGCCCGGGGCCGCCGGCGGGTGAGAGCCGGCGAGAGGCGGCCGCGGTGGCTCCCGGAGCAGCCCCTCTCCAGGCTCCTGCGTGGCCGGGCTGAATGGGCCAGACAGAAGCGTCTTCCCCTAAAAGAAACATTAAGTCAAACCTCTACCGGGAAACACACTGAAGACTCTGGCTCATGTCCTCAGGCGCCGGCCAAGGGAGAACAAGCACAGCCCCTCAACGCAGGCTGGCGAGGACGTCTCTCCTCGTCGCGAGGTCTCTTGTGCCGAGCACGGTTACGTGAAGCTCCCTTCTACACTACTGCCAACTCCAAGTTCCGAACAGAGGGCGGCTGACCCACCAGCACTGCTGAAAGGACGACCCCGCTGGCTCTGCACGTCCTCCTCGGCCACGTTCCCGTGGCTCCCGCCACGCGGACCTCACCAGCCGGCTCTTCCCCAGGTTCACAGCCCCCCTCGCAGCCCGACAGCAGGGCGGACGTGGCCTTCACACCAGGAGCCCGCACAGGATGCCGAGCGGGCAGACCAGCCAACGATTCGCAGACACAGGCAGAGGCAGCAGGCGGGCGGCAGCGCACACGGCACCAGCCCGCACCGGGAAGCCACGGTCCCAGTATGCAGTGCGAGGACTGGACCAAAGATGCTCAGGCACAAAGGGACCCCCCTAGAACCGCCCGCACCTGCTCTTGGGGTCCTCGGGGCCACTGGCCAGAGAGCCCTTCTGCACACGACAGCCTGACCTTCCTGGAGGACGGCCCCCTGCTGGCCTCGCCTGCCCTTCGCTGAGCCCGCACCGCGCCCGCACCGCTCCTCGGGACACCCCACGGCTGCTGTCCTAACCCTATGAACGCAGACTAAGGTTACGCTAATGTTTTTTACAACTGTCATGCACAGTTGATCTGCGGCTTTTAAAGTTCTAATCAGTCATTCCCTTTTTTCATGACTAAACTATTCCATAACATATATTTTAAATGTCCTAACACATTATAAAAAGACAACTTTGACCATTTTCTGTTGTTGGTTCTATCTGAGAGTATCCCAGGGGAAACATTCAAACCCATGATCAGAAATTTTAAAGGATCATTTTTAAAAATTTTCTTTCATTATTCTTACCCTCCCCAGTCTTCTGTGAAAAGAATACTTTTTTGTTGGCTTTTAATTAAAAGGCTTTTAATTAAAATTAAAATTTTAATTAAAAAATATCTTTAGGTTTTGTTACCGTCCACTCACTTCCTGGAGAACCTCCCCAGCGCTGGGAGGAGAGGGAGGCCCCGCCCCCAGCACCGCCAGCCGCCCATGCCGAGTGCAGCCGGCCAGCACCTGGTGCCTGACCATGGCGGCGGCCAGGCCACACTCAGTGCCCGCTCTTCTGGCCTCAGCACAGGTGGACCCACGTCCAGCCCAGCTCTGCGTCCCCGTCTGCACCAGACGACACTCGGGCCTCCACGCATCTTGGAGGCACATCCAGGGGCCCCCAGACACAGCACCGGGACTGCTGGAGCCCTCGGCCTCCGCCTCCGCATGCACGTCCTACGGAGGTCGCCGTCGGTGTCTGCACGGCAGCCGGGCCACGGCACAGTGGGACAGGCCACGGATGAGCCGCTGGAATCCGGACAGGCAGGTCACCAGGAGTCTGACAAAGGACCTCACCTAACTCCCTGGGCTGCAAATGCCCTTGCCACACCGGGAGGGGCGGAGCGGCAACAGCGACAGCCAGTGAGGCCCACGTCTGCTTTAAAGAAAACGGGTCTGCCTTCCCGGTCACAGCTCCGGAGGGTCCCGTGCGGCTTAACGTTCACTACCCTGCAGACCCATGACGTTCAACAGCCGTTCAATACAGAGCATGAGGCATTCTGTTCACTCTTAAACAAAGCAAGAATTAGCTGGCAAGTGCTGCAGCTGGTTTTAGGGAGTGGCAGGTCTTAGGAAACTTTCGGTGATTTATCTACAAAAAATCCCTACAACATGCTAGGAAACGTGAAGATTTACAAAGACGGGAAAGTACCAAAAAACCACTGAGAGACAGAACCCCCAGAGAAGCCAGGCATCCTTATGCAGTGCCAAGGCCCTTCCGTAAGTTTAAGTGCGCACACCGGCTAGCAGCAGCCCACAGACGAGTGTCCGGGGAGCCGCCAAACACGGCCCCTCCGCGAGTTCCGAGGCGCCCTGCGAACGCCAGGGCGCGGCTGGGCGGGGCTGCAGGGCCGTGCACAGGTCGAGGCTCAGATGGAGAAGGGCGTGCACGCGCCTGGCCAGGCTGCTGCAGGCCTCGTACAGCCTCTCCTGAGATTCTCACCGCCACCCTAGCCCGAATTTCCCACCAAAGGCTGGACGCGCAGTCTCAGCACACAGGACACACAAAAACACGGCAACAAACACAGGAATGTGTCTCGCTCTTGTTTCTAAATCGGGCACTAGAAAAGCATTGTGTCAAAACTTACGTCTGAGCCCACACTTCTCCCAGTACTTTGTAGGACAGGCTTGGCCACAGAGAGCTTTCCGTTCACTGGGCTGCTGGCCACAGGGGCCGGCACCACACTGACCACATGGTTGGGGAGCTGTGCGGCGCCCCCAGCCACGGCCAGGATGGGCTGGGGAGAGGGCAGGACCCCGGGCGCCTGCAGCTGAACCACGGCCGGCTGAGACAGCACCACGGTCTGACCTGTGGAGAGAAAAGACGGGGGTCAGAGGGCGCGCAGCTCTGGGGCAGGAAGAGCCGCTCAGCCCAGAGACCTGGCCTGCAGGCGGAGCGACAGGTGGGGGTGGACAGCCACCTGCCCGGCTCGGCGGCCGCGCATGATCCCGTGATGACTCCCCATGTCCTGCCTCATGGCCCCAGCTAAGGCCACGCCCTTTCGTGTGAGCCTTCACAGTGCAGTTCCATATAGTTGATCTCAACTACACATGTGTCAAATTTGCTAAGTTATACAGAGATATCTCCAAGTGTTGTAATAACCTCTGAAATGCACTAGTGATAAAAGGATTTTTCACATTATATATAACAAACGTTCTCTAACAACACAGAGAACCATGTATGTATTTCAAGTTCACGGGACTTAGAAATACCACACCAAACACCTATAAACAGAGGTTCCCTAACTCGATGCTTGGAAGAAAACGCAACACAAATATCAAAAATGTTAAAACCCTGAGATGAATTCTTAGCTACTAGCAAGCACAGAACACATAAACCTGCAACTTAAAACTGTGCAGATAACCACCACCCCCACCCCGCGGCCACAGCCCACACGTCTCTTCTCAATCTTCACACTTAGTGTCAGTTTAAACCCGCGCCGACCTGAGCAGAGGGCGGCTCTCGCCTCGAGGGGGCGCCCCCTCTCAGCTCCGGCCGCCCCCGCCCCCCCCCGCGGCCACTGAAGCTGCACGGGCGCCTGGGATCCGCCTCGAAGGGAAAGCCCCGCACGTTCCGACAGGGTCACACGAGCCGCGTACGACCCAACCCCGAGTTCCGCGGGCGCGAGGCAAGGGGGTCCGAGCGGCGCCGCGGGCCACCTGGTGCTAACAACGCCTGTCTTAGCTTGAAACAGCCACTCCTGTAATATCAAGGTATCGTTTCAGACGGCCTCGAACAGCAGCTAAAGGAACAGAACTGAACAGTACTTTGTTCCCCGTAAGTTAGTGAGTTAGTAAGAAAGCTGCAAGAATAATTTCATAGATTCGGAGCGTGCACAATTTGCCTGAGCATAAATGACCACTAAACATTTTCCCTCAGAATGCCTTCTTTTATGAAATAAAAACATAAACTGAGACAACTCATAAGCCGATATACACACACTTAGGCCAAATACGCAAGTAAAGATAATGAATAAATAAAGCAACCCGCAGGCGAGCGAGCGCTGGGCCCGGCACCAACACCCCGGAGAAGCCGCAGCGGGTCTGGCGGAGGCGCGCTCGGCGGGGCCCCGCCCCCGGCCCCGCCCCCGGCCCCGCCCCCGAGGCGCAGGCACCGCGTCGCCCAGAGGTGCCGCTGGGTTGAGAAACACGCCACAAGAAAAGGCCGTCAGGAACTTAGGATCGCTTTTAAACGAACCTGCAGCTCAGGACGCAGACGCGTACTCACAAACGTGAAGCCAGCAGTGGGGCCTCAGGAAACCACCAGGGGCTGCGCCCGCGGCACAGGCCGCGCCCCACGTCTTCTGGGTTTAAAAACTGCGATGAAAAGGCCCCCGAGAACCAAACACTGTTCCATCAACTTCGGGCTCCTGTGAAGAACGCAGGACGCGGTCAGCGTGGAAAACCGAGCCATTTCCAGGGCAGGAGCCTCCCTCGAGCTCCGCGCAGCTCCGCAGCGCTGGCCGCGGCACCGCAGGCCGGCCCGGCTCCCCCCGGCCGAGGCAGGGAACACCGCCCACGCGGCCGCCACTGCCCGCCCGCACGCTCTCCTTGCCGACGCTGCAGCGGGGGCAGGCGCGGCAGCCCCGCCAAGTCTGGGGCCAACGCGGCTCCGAGTCCTGCCAGCCTCTGCCGCCTCCTTCCCTCCAGGGTGCACGTCTCCCCTTTCAGCCCACAGTGCCGGCCCAGCCACCCGCAAATCAGCCCGCACCTAAGGCAAGAATCAAGAAAGAACGGGGGGAAACAACTCAATGGGCACTCAGTGTCTTCGAGAAAAAATAAAACCCCTCATGCGACTCGCTCTCCACGGACCTGCTCGCCAGACCCCAAAGTGCAAGCACAGGGGTCCCCGCCCAGCCAGCAGCTGGACTCAGGCCCAACGGCTCGCGGCGCGGACACAGCTACACGGGACACAGCACGGCTGTGCATCCGTTTCGGCACCGTCCGCCTCCTCTCGGACACCGCGCGCAAACCCCTGACGGGACGCGGCTGGCCGCAGTGCCGGACTCCGCTGACCCCGGCCGGCTCCCGGCTGTGCGGGCTCTTCCTTCCCAACCTCCCCCGGACCTGAAACGACGCGTGCGGCGCTCGCCGACGCCCGGCGCCGCTGTGGGGCTCCGGGCAACGGAGGGGGCGCCCGCGCTCGGCGCGGGGCGGACACACGGAAGCGCCCAGACCGGAGCCGGCACGGGGCGGAGACGTGAGCGCTCGCCACCGCTGCTGCCCCCGTCCGTGCAAGCGCCGCAGGGCACTGCGTGCGTTCTCAGGTCCCTGGTTCTCACAGCGACGGTAACGTGACCGTTCACACAAACTCGCTAACCCCCGACTCCTGAGATCAACAGCCACAGCTCAGCGCCCCCCCCCGGGGCCACAGGCAACCCAGCGCCGGGCTCAACACCCAGCCTCGGAGCCAGACCGCGCGGCTCAAGGCCTGGCCCTGCCTGTCACCTGCGGGGCGCCCCGAGCCAGCGCCCTCCTCTGCCCTCCGTTCCAGCGAGTGGCATCATCCTCCACCCAGAGAGCCCGTGACAGGACCCTGTCCTCTCTGTCCCCGTTGCCCCCCACCACTCACCAAACCCTGGGATGCTGCTCCCGGCCCCCGTCCCAGCCGCCCGCACGGCGCAGGCTCGGTGGATGCACAGGACGCGGGTGTGCGAAGGCAGGAGCCGCCCCGGGCAGACAGAAGGGCAAGCGCGGTCCCTGAGGGCCAGTGCGGGTTGGCCGGGCCCGAGGGGGCTCCAGGGGGAGTGGCGCCGCGGTGCAGGGGAGGAGGCCAAACCGCCGCACCAAGGCGGCCCGAGACGTCCCACCGCCTCCTGCGAGCGCGGCTTCCTGCTCCCGACGGGAACTGCTCATCGTGGAGGTCACGTAAGGGGCTGCGAAGGGCCTCCCGTGTTCCCCTCCCCTGGCCCCACATTCCCACAGAAACGGAGGACCCGCCCTTCTCTCCGCCGGCCCCAGACGCCTGTTCTACAGGCCGCCCGGTGAGCGGACACGCCCCCAGAGAAGCACCGCCCACAGGCGCAGGGACGCACGCACGCCCGCGTGCCGCGCAGGCGGCCGAGGCTGGAGCAACCCTCGGAGACGCGCTGCGCGTCTCCTCGCCGCGGGGGCCTCCAGCTCTTCCGCTGCCGCCGGTCCGCTAGTCGCGCTGGCGTCAGGCTTTTCTTTTCACACCTGCTGTGGTAGCTTATGGGGGCTAAACGAGGGTCTTCACAAGTTTAAGTCCCTCAGCCTTCGGGAGACACACGTCCTTCCGAGGCCCTGCTGACAGGGCTGCAGACGGTCCCTAAAACGTCCCCACGCAGACACACACCGGAGACTGCATTTCACATCAAGAAGCTCTCGAACACCTGACCGCCGGCCGTCCCAGACCCCCGGGACTCCTGCCCGGCCGGCGCGCTGCCCTCGCCCGAGAAAGGCCGGGAGCGGCCGCACACAGGCCTGCCTGCGTCCACCCAGCCTCTGCGGCCCTTCTCTGAGCGACGCCACGCTGTCTGCGACCGCGCGACCGGCCTCGCCCTCCCCACGACCGCCGTCCAGAGAAACGAGCTACCGCCAGAGCCGGGCACGCGGCCATAGAGGCAGACGCCACGCCGTGTTCAGGGACAGCCTGTTCCCCGGTGCCACCTCGTCCTCCCGGGCACCAGCGGCGACGCCCCGGGAACGACGCTGCTCGGGTTGCCTGGACTCGGGCGGGCGCGCACGCACCTGCGCAAGCGCGATGCTCCGCCCCTGCACGAGCGCCCGAGGCTGCCCGGTCCCGCTCCCCCAGCACCTGGGCCTCCTGGGCCTCCCTGCCAACCTCCATCCGCCTGATCCTTCCAGGAGCGGGCGCGCGCCGCCACCTGGTGGACGGCACGCAGAACCACACGCGGTCCAGGCGCAGGGAAGGCGGTTCGGGCGCAGAGGCCGCTCCAGGACACGCTCCTGAGGGTAACAGCCTGGTTCTAGGGCCAAAACACGCCCACGAGACCGAAATGGACCATATTGTTTCAATACCGGCCCCTCTTTAAAAACAGAGCTCAGAGACACAAAAATCTCAGGATAAAATGTCACCAAGAAAGTTAATAAGCCTCTCGTAACTAAACCTGCAAAGAAATGAGCCTGCGGGCGGGGCCCATCTGATCTCTCGCCCCTACTGGGACCGGGAGCGGGTGTCGTCACTTGCCATGTCCCAGAACGAAGGACAGCTCCTGACCTGCAGCGCGGAGAGCAGTGCAGGAACCAGAGCTAACCTAACGGCCCCAGCCCGGCCGCTGCCGGCCGCGCACACAGCCCCTCGCTGCCCGCGATACCTTTGCTGGGCGCGGGGTGGATGCTGAGCGCTGGCTGCTGCTTTGCCACCGGGATCAGTGTGGGCAGCGCCTGGATGATGATGGCTTTCGCGGGGACGCTGGCGTTGGTTTGAGGCTTGGGTGCTGCTGGCAGCAGTAAAGGCTTGGGCTGAATTGAAGGTTTTGAATTTGTCTGAAGTTTTTTCTTTGGAGTCAGTCCATTTTCTAGAGAAAAAACAAACCACAAATCAATCCGAAGACACGCAAGCGATCTTAGGAAACAGGTTCTATTTACACCTTTCTCTCCACTTTGACCACCGAAGTAAGTTGTCCTGAGGTTGCCTTGGCCTCTGAGCAACCACCCTGAGCTGGAGTTTTAGCACGGGGACCCCGGGCCTTGACGGGCTGAGAAACAGTCCCCATTGGAGGGCTGCCTTTGTTTCTGCTGAGGCACAGCGGACACATGACATTGTGCCAGCTTCAGGGGTACCAGCTGACGGTGCAGTATCGGCATCACAAAACAACCGTTACGGTGAGTCCAGGTAACTCCCAGCACATAGTTACTACATTATTTTTCTTGTCACAATAATTTTGAAAATCTACCCTCCTTGCAACTTTAAAATTTGCAAGACAGAACCAGCAAGAGGGTCATCACCATACTGCACTTGCTCAGGTCCCTGCGGCATGAGGCCTAACCCTTGGGTGTGTGCCCCGCGGAGCAGCAGCACAGCCCCGCCTGCAGCCTGGCATCACGAGGCGACCACAGCCTCCGCCCAGCGGCCCTCGCAGCCAGGACCCTCCACCTGGGGGTGGGAGGGATGGCGGGAGGCAAGTCCCCTGCAGTCCTCTCGCCTCTAAAGATGGAAGGAGACAACCGGGACCCCCCACACCGGTCCACGGCAGATAGGCCTGGCAGACACACTCAGAGGCCCCCATGCCTGTGTCTGAGTAGTGGCACCCGAGCTCGGGCAAGAACGGCAGCGACACTGGTTAGAGATGGAACAGTACCGGGCTTGCTCCTCGGACTGGGGACGGGCTTGTCTTCCTTCGCAGGCTCGGCTGAGCAGGGACCGCCGGGGCTCTCTCCGTAGAGGGAAAGAGGAGACATCTGGGGGCCGGCAGACAGGTCCAGCTCCTCCTGCAGTGACAGCAAGCACGCGTTCCTGTGGCGGAACACCGCCCCGGCAGGAGGGCGTGTGGAGGGGGCAAGGCCTGCGGGGAGGCACTGCACCTGTGAGGTGCCACGGCACCACAGGCACGTCAGCATCCATCACCAACACCGAAAGAAAGTAACCAAAGTGCAAGATCTGCCCACGAATCACAGACCCACTTCTACGCTCCCTCCCACAGACTTCATGTTTTACTTGGTTCCTGGCCTTGCAAACAACTAGCATTTTACAAGGCTCCAGTTAAAACACCAGTATCCTTTCCCACAGCCTCTTGTTTAGTCTTACAAGACTCTCAAAGCAAATAATTCTTCTATCTTCTCCTCTTCTATTTGCTCCCACTGGCTTTGCACCCAGTGTTTTGAAAGAAGGGTGAACACTGAGGGAAGCAGAGCTATTTTATCTGACGAGTAAATTGACAACAAAAAGAAGTGTCAGGACAATACTCTCAAAAGACTTTTACTCCTCAGTGGACCTGTCCCATTTTGACAGGATAAAGAAAGTTAACATAGCATACATGTAGCATTTCTATTCTGGGAGAAAAAGATGTTCTGTAATAGAGTAGAACAGCCATATCTACATCATGCGCCTTCAATCTGTAAGGTTATTAAAGAAAGTTTTGCAGAACAAGTGTTACTCTCAGTGTGACGTGGGTCCCTCAAGTCAAACCAGCCCAAAAGCCACAAAGGGGAAAGAAACATTCAAACAGTAATACCGAAAATATTTTACAATAAAAAGTAGAACATAAACAAAGTTAAAAGATGCAGAGTAATGCAAGTGATGGGTTACCACCTGTTGTAAAATAGGAACCCATGAGTCCACACCGATACAAACACAAGACATGTGATGAAGCACCTGCTTTGTTTGTTTATCTATGGCAAAGGGAAGACAGCCCCCTCACGGGGGAGCCTGGCAGGCCACTGCGTCCGGGTAGCCCAGTGACGCCTTCGGCAACAGCGCGGCCCGAAAAGAGCACCTCCTCATCCAAAGCCAGGGACAGAGGCCGGCGCCCCACCGAACTGCGCCTGCCCAGACTCGCACCAGACTCCACCCCACAGCGCCAGGCAAGCCCCACTGGGACGCCTCCTGCACACTCGCTGGTCTTTGGCCAACAGAGCTGTGAGGTTGCGTGAGTGGGGAGGGCCCACGGCCTCACGGGAAGGAGGCTGCGGGATGGGATGAGCACATGTGTGAGGACGTCCGTGGACAGCGTGTGCGGGGGGCGCGGAGGACAGAAGACAGCCATGCCCCTGTGGGCACTTCCTGGTCTTGGCAGCTACAGTGTGGCCACCCATGACACATCCCTGCAGGTCAGGAACCAACACTGAGGCGGGGGGGTGAGGGGGCGCCTGGCTGGCATCGCCGGAAAAAGCCTTATGATGTACTTGTAGCATCTCTGTAAGTGTGAGATTGTTCTGAATTTTAAAAAACTAATATAAGAAAGAAAACAAGGATAAAAATATTTGAGTGGTGAAAAACTCTCCTTTGAGTGAAAAAAAAAGCAATAAAAGACCGATAATTTGGCTGTTTATAAAAAGTACACCTTGAGAAAACAAGCGCCAGAAATGAAGCTCAAAGACAAATGACAAATTGGAGGGAAAAAACGCCTGTAACTCGTGTCACAAAACTGCACACTAACAACCCTGCATATAACAAAACGCTTCTAAAAACTGAGGCCAGAAGACCAACACCGCACCGCGGAGGGGCGGGCCAACCCTGCTGGCAGCTTGGCGAGGCCCGGGCTCAGGCCCGATGCGTGGAGCGTGTGCGGAGGTGCCCGGCACCCTCCGCCCCATCCCCGCCACCCAGGGCGCCCCGACTGCGCGGCTGCCGGGCAGACCCCCAGAGCAGCAGCTCCCGTGCCTCCGGCAGCTGAGGGAGGAGCCGCGGGGGTTAAGACTCAGCCTCTGGGCTCAGCTGCCTCGGGGTCAGGCCCTGCGCACAGCAACTGGGCCTGCTGAGAGGCCGGCTACTCACAGGGACGTGCTGGGTCGAAGAGGTCGAGTCCATGGACTGCGGAGACGACACTGAGCAGCCGGAGGAAGCGGGGGAGAGCGGCTGAGGCTCTGCCTTAATATCTTTGACTGAAAAACACAGAGCACAGGTTTTCCATAGGAGAGCATCAACTCTGAATAAAACGGATGAAAGTGAAATATGTTCTTAAAACCCACCCCTGAGGGGGCTGAGGTCGCGGGAGAGCGGGGAGGAGCGCAGCCCCCCCGCCGGCCCGAGGGGAGCGCGTGTGTGCACAGGTGCGAAGCAGACCGGACAGCGCACCTGCCCTCCTTCCCGGAGGCTCGGCAGACGCGGGGAGGGCTCGTCTCCGAGGGGCACATCGCGCAGGCTGTGGGGCGAGAGCAGCAGGAGACACCTGCTGCTCCACGGACCCCGTGCACCTTCCGGGTATTATTCCATATGCGGAAAAGTACAGGTTGCCAAAAAATAAGTTTTAAAAAATATCACAGGAAAGAATCATTTTGGAGCGCACTGTTGACAACCCAGTTAACCCTCAACTGTTAATTTATTTACAATGACTTATCGAGCAGCGGTGGTCCAGGCAGCGCTCCCAGGTGTGGACTGATTGGGGGGGGTGGGGGCGAGTCTGTGTCTCCCCAACATGGCTGCGTAAGTCCTCACAACCCTGAAGACCTGGAACAGGACCCAGGACCTGCCCCCCGTCAGAGCCTTGGGGAGCGCACGGCCCCTCAGGAGTGTGGGGGGGGGCAGCCCCCACAACTGCCACCAGAGGCCACGCTGCGAAGACGTCGGGCCACAGGGAAAGGCCGCGTAGCACCCCCATCGGCACGCCGCCCGGACCAGGCTCTCCACAAGCGAGGGGAGAGGCGCGAGAGGACTCTGGCCCCGAGACGTCTAGCTTCTGTGGTCCGCGCGTCTGCCAGCAGGGCCTGCAGGTCGCACGGGGCAGAGTGGAGCCGCCCCCGGTGCGCCCCGTCCTAGCCCCCGACCCACCGATTCTGGGAGCACAAAACACAGGGCTTGTTTCAAGCCATGGAGTTCATCATACACAACAGTGATCACAACACTGTCCTGTGTAGCCCAGGTGCTCCAAGGGAAGGCAGGCATCGAGCAAGACACACGCGCACACAAAACGAAGGGACTAGGGCATGCGGGGTGGGACCTGCTGCTTGCGTACCCTCTGCTCGGCCCTGAGCCCGTGGCCTGCGGTCCGAGGTGCACGTCACATGCAGGCCCCGCCGGCTGCCACCAGGGCTGTGACTGGCAGGAGGGGGGGAGGACTCCTCATCCTGCGCCAGCCTCACGGGAAGCAGCAGCTTGCGCGGGTGCCAGCTTCCGTCTGCGCTCCCTCGGAGCACATGACAGGCCCGGCCCTGCACTGCGGTCCGACATGCGGGTCACCCCCAGCTGTTCCCTGGATTCCCTAAGTCTGTCTGGTTCCCAGGCTACTCTCTCACAGAGATGCTACACGTGAGTGAAAACCAGTACTTCTGACCTGAATGTTTACTCACGTATGTGACTGGGACAGTATGTGGGCTGGGAACTACGAAGTTCCCTCTCCGCTAGGGCGGGAGCTTTCTGTGTGCGCCACAGGCCGGAGTAGGATAAACAGCCCCTGGAGCCTTTCACCCCATCGAGGTGACCCCACAGCCCTGCCTCACGCTGGCTGTGACCAGACTACAAACTGAAGTGGACCCGCCTCCAGCTTTCCCAGCGACAGTGCGGCCTCACCTGCGTAGAGCTGGTTGTTGGCGTCCCACGTGCCTCCTGTCTCCCACGGCATCAAATCCAAGTCAAAATCGAGGTTTTCAAAATTGCTTTCCTGCAGGTGTGGAATCAGCAAGAGGATATTAGAAGAATAAAACACATGCACCAGGACATCAGACTGTCCGACGCAAGTCGCCACAGACAACACAACGGCCATCACCCACCCGGTACAGCCAGCTTCCCGGGCCGCCGGCTCGCCCGGGCCCTCCCCTCGGGAGCCAGAGAGAAGCCCGAGCAGTCGCTGGGCACTGCGGCAACGCCCGGGAAGGGCCCGCTGGCCCGACTCTCTTCAGGGGACAGGCCATCACAAGAGTCACGCGGACGAGAGGGTCTGCTGCCAGGGAACCCAGCACAGTAGAAACAAGTCCCCCTGCCGTGAAGGGGGCCGACGCGAAGCCGGCGCCACTCCCAGCAGCCTCCCGCAGACAGCGGCAGGGACACAGACGCAGGTGAGCCCGGCAGGGGCCACGCAGCATCACCAAGCCTTCAGTTTACCCGCATGGGACGGCGATGCCAGATTCGCACACCCGGGGACGGTGGGCCACACTCCTTTTTTTCTGTGCTGCCCTGCACTTTTCAAACTTCTAAAATACAGTTTCTATGCTTTTTTTAATCCTAGAAGATAAAACTAAGTGTTTCAATCAGGGGACAACAAACCTCTTAAAGGGACACTTTAGCTTCTTTTCCCTTAGATAACACTGTTTTCTCGCCTGCAAGCGCAGACGGAGCTGCCTGCCCGACCCCCCACCACACACACAAACACCGGAGAACGGCCACCCCCTCGCGGGAGCGGCAGAGCAGGGGAGCCTATGGCTGGAGGCAAGAACAGCGTCAGCACAGCGGCCAAGACAGAAGGCGGCGGCATTAACCTGGTGTAACAAACAACCACGGAGACCATACACCTCCGGCAAAAAGTAAAGATAACATAGCCGCTGTCACCGACCATTTTGTAATAATTTGCAGAAGAACATCATCATTTCAGAATGTCTGCCACATGGTTTACTTTTATTGAGAATGTCACAGAGGAGAAAGAGCGAACTGTTTTATCAAACTGCCTTTAGCTGAGTAAATATAGTACAAGTTATATAAAGAAATGTGTGTGAGACCACATTTACCAAAATGAAAAGCTACTTATACCACAGAAAGACCACCTCTTACATCAACCTCCTTTGTTTTTTCTCTTATTTGAACACGCACATCAGGAAACTAGGCAGCCCGGTCCTTTCTGCAGCCAGAAGACCCTCCCCAATCACCCGGGCCTGGCCACGTCACTGGGCCATGGGGCTGCGTGGGCAGCCGTGCGATCGGTCCTGCTCGGGATGCTCCACCTCGGTCTCGGCCACGGAGACAAGCACCTTCCGCAGCGTGAGAATCCCACCTGGTCGGAAAGGGAGCACCCTGGACTTGTGCACGCTGGCTCTCCATGCCCCTCCCGCGGACCTCCGCCCCCCCAGGGAGAGGAGGGCGCGATGGCTGAGGGCAGGGACAGCCCCTGGTGCATCTGCTGCAACCCCTGCACTCCACGCAGACTCGCGAGGAGGCCAAGGCCAAGGGACTTGGGCGAGGTAAGAACGTGACTACACAACCAGGACCACACTGCCCTGGATCTTTCCGATTTACTACACTGTTTACTGATGGCTTCAGGCCACAGAGGCTCTGAAAGCGTATCAGTTGCTTAGGCAACCAGCCAGTATTAAAAGTAAATCTAATCAACAGACCACATTCTAAGCATTTCACTAAAGTAATAAATGCCATTAAAATCCCATCCACTGATTATAAAACACATCATGTGTTTTTACTCTATTCTATATTCATTCACAGTGAAACCACCGCTAAACTGCTCTTTGAGAAATGTCTGAGAAACCCACTCAGCACCGGACACATATTTTTATAGTCAGGTTAATAAGGGCTTAAAGAACAAGTGATAAATATTCGATCCAACTGCTGTGCACACAAAATCACCGCCCACGTGAACGGCTTCCCCACTGAACAGCACCTCCTCCAACCAGGAGTAAAACAAGGACGGGTCCTCTGGGCCGCACGCTGCGCACCGACACTTATGCACAAACCCGGAAGAGAGAGAGAACATCGAAGGTGCCTCTGAGGACTCAGAGAACTACAAGAGCGTCGATGCAGACTCCTAACCGCACCAAGCCAAGAAGCAAGGCCCTGCCTAGGTGTCCGAGGGTCCCGCTTTGGATACGTAACCTTTAAAGATACAGTGAGTGCTATGTGATGAGCTTGGGACTCACACCGACACCTTCACCTCACCGTCTCCCTCACGCAGCCAAGTCACCTCTGAAGACCAGGAAAGAGGCAGGTACGGACTGAGCCAAAGGCGGACCCGACGGCATGTCTCCTCACCCCAAGGCCAGCGCGGCTCCTGCAACCCTCACCTCGCTGGCTGCCAAGTGGCTACCAGCTCTCCTGCCTGAAGTCAGTCAACCCTGAATAGCCAGCCCAAGCCCGCGGTCCGGAAACCTTCTTGCAGAAGCAGGGTAAAACCGAACCGCCACGGGAGCCAGGCTCTCTCCTCCCGCAGATACTCACGTAAGTCTCGTCGGCTGCGTCCAAGTCCATGTCCACAAAGTGGCCGAGCTCGGCAAACAGCGCAGAACCTGAGGACACAAGGAAAGGGGAGACAGGAGCTGTGAGGTCAACATTCTGACCGAGGAATGAGCACCGCGCCCCTAGGCCAGCCTGTCGGGCCCCTCAGCCGCCGTCACTATCACTGATGATACTATGGTCAACCCTGTTATGGATACACTGCAGCAGCGTGAATGACAACCAGTTCAGGGCTGGCTCCTGATTCACGTGCCGCTGTCCTCATGATTTCTGTCTCAGGAACGCAACCTTCACACCAGGGACTTAGACACGGGCTGCGTGTCACGTCACGTCGGACGAGCTGCTGGCAACTCTTGGGGATGTGGCTCGCACCGGTTCTGAGGCTGCCTCTGGGCTCAGCCTCGAGGGCGACGTGGCTGGCAGGCAGCGGGACAGGCGGGTGCGGGCAGCACGTCGCCCTGTGTCCACCGTCCACGCCAAAGGTACCGGACGATACATTTTCTATCTAAACAGTAAATGACTCACCCATCTAACCCATTCAAGTTATTTCAGCAAATCTAACTTTACCCCAATTTCCTGGTGAGATTTCATTATACACCAAAGAATGTGTGGACACAGAAAATATTCTTCAATAAACTAGGCTGAAACTTTCTGTAGAGAGAAGTCGAGATGCTGATTAATCCGTAAAGTGTCTGCTCTCCCCACATGTCCAGAACTTGAATCAGAGCTTCCTGAGCCCCGGTCTGCCTTCCGGGCCCCGGCGCCGCGGCAGGGAGCTGCCCTCCATGGTCTCCTCGCTCCACGTGCACAGGGACAACATGGCCCGCCTATTACTGACTCGACCAGCGGCAGACGCACTTCACCAACCTCTAACAAAACAATACACAAGCCAAAGAAATGTGCGTGCAGTAATGACGAACGTTATTCTCAGCTCCCTAGAAAAGGCCACCTTCTGCTGGAAGGGCCTAACAGCGACAAGAGCCCGGCAGCAAAGACAGCACTGCGCCCGAACCCGGAAACAGAATGCCACCCTCCTCCGGACACGGAAGTCTGTGGCAGCTCCTGGGAGGAACGGCTCATTTCAGAACTAAGGCAGGGAGAGTACTGGACGGGGCTGGGAGCTCGCCTAGTGATGGAAAATAAGGACATTCTCATTCTCAGATAAGGACGTTCTCAGGGAACAATGGGAATGCCTCAGAAGACTGAAAGAGCTGATAGAATGGTCCAGTCCGGGAAGATCTCAGCAACGGAACACAGTGAGAGGGCCAGGTCGCAACCCACTGAGTGCAGCAGGGCGGGGCCCGCCTGAAAAGCACTCCCGCATACAGAACAGGTTCCGCCCACCACGCTTCGGTCACAGGTTGGGACAAGGTGACGGAGGCAGCCGCACAGGGTGGCTGAGAGGCCTCCATGGACCCGAGGGCTGCTGGGCGCAGGTCTTGCAGGGGACAGGACACTGACGTCATGGTGGGACCCCTCCCCCACGTCGTGACTTCACAGCAGAGAAACCAGGCAGGTGCCAGCTGGACCCACAATCAAGGCGACCATCACCTCGGGACAGGCCGAGGGCCCGTGCCCCCAGACGGTGTGCGAGGCCCGAGATGAGGACAGAGGGGTGTGCTCATGCTCGACCACGGCGCGCGCCTGGCCACAGCGGGTCCGGGAGACGAGGAGAGGAGGAACTGGAGCCAGTGGGCACAGACAGGTTTTTAAAGGGATTCCGCTGGGCAACAAGGAAGTGCAGTGGCAGCGAGGGGAGTGACCTCTGCAGAGGGCTTGGGGCTCCTCTGCGCTGCTCACTTGGCGGGAGCAGCAGCCCCCTGCATGGATGGAGGGCGGCCTGTGGGGCGCAGGCAGAGGGCCAAAGCGCTGGGCACTGTCGGCGTGGAGGAGGACGGCCCAGGCCCACGCCCCGGCCTGCGGGCTTCAGCGGGAGCCCGTGCCACGCGTCCCAGCAGCAGGAGACAGCGGACACGCAGGTGTGGGACCAGACGCGGGCCCAGGTCCCCAGATTCGGGGACGCTGCGGGATGGCTCCAAAGGAAGGGGCGGGGCACTGAAGTGCAGAGCTGAGGGCCAGAGGGCCAGGGCCAGACGCTCCGCAGGTAACACTGGAGGCCTGTTTCCGGTCAGCAGTGCGGATGGAGAGTGGGGCCAGTCGGCATGGCTCCTGCTTTCCAGCCACGCTCAGCTCTCTGAAGCGGACGTGGAGCAGGCAGACTGGACTTAACCGAGCTTGTGGTTCATCCGGGAAAGAGCTGCCAGAGGCAAGAGAGACAAGGACTGAGGCACAAGGGAAATGATACCCGTGACTGTCCACAGAGTTCAAACTGGGTGGGGGGTGGGGACAGAAAGGGGGCGAGGGGCTGGGACACAGCAGACCCTCCGCAGCACGGCAGGCACTTTGGTTTGGAACACTGGGGGGCGGGGGGGCAGGTGAGAGGAGGAGGTGACTGGAGCGGGGTGTCTGAGGCTGTGATGACGTCCTTGGTGAAGGCAGGGACGGAAGGCAAGGCCACGGTGCGGAGCAGGGCTGGGAGTTGTCAGGCTACGTAAGGGTCTCTGAGGACACTGAGGTCACCCATAATCGTCACGGAAGGAGCTCTGGGGGAGGCCCCGTGAGCGAGGAGCTAAAACCTTCCACACAGACGCCTGGAGCAGACTGGGCACAGCAGAGGGCTGGGGCAGGGGGGGGGGGGGATGGGGACCTGGAGGGTTCTGGGGAGGGTGGAAGGAGAGGGGCCCCACGGTAGCGGTGCACACAAAGAAGGCGCTTCTCCCACCGCACAGGTAGGAAGGACCTGAAAATGACAGCGGCCACCGCTCGCCGGGCTTTCGGGAAAGTAGGGTACGTGGTCGGCCGGCGCGAGGCGGCAACGACTCCCGCAGGGTAGGCTGCAGTTTCAAGGAAGCCACAGTGCAGCTGGAAGCTCCTGCTCTTGGTACATGTAGCTCCAACGCGGCAAGAAAAAAAGGGGCGTTTGCACAAATTAAAGAGGGGCAGGGAGGCAGAGAAGGAGGAGGAGACGGGAGACACACGGTGACCGTGCGCACGTGGCAGAACGCTGCACATCAGCCCTCACCCTCAAGCAGCTTGAAGCTGCCACGAGGGGCCACGGCCCTGGCCAGGGTGGCTGGAACCCCAAACGCTGCCACACCCAGCGCCGGCGAGGACGGGGTGCAGCGGGACTCCCATTTGTTGCTGGCGGGCCTGCGACACGGCGCAGCCGCTCTGAAGGCAGTTTGCAAGCCCCTTACAAAGCTAAACTTGCTGTCACCACGCAGCCAGCAATAGCTCCCCGGTATTCACCTGTGACCTGGAAGCCTACATCCCCGCAAAAGCCTGCACACAAATACCTGCAGCAGCTTTATCGTCACAGCCCGCATCTGAAAGCAGCCAAGATGCCCTCCAACAGGTAAACGGATAAACAAGCTGTGTGTCCTGTCCCACCAGAGCTCACGCGGTGAAGCCCGAACCCCCGAGCCACGGCCTCGGGGGCAGGGTCGCCTGCAGGAGCACCCGGGTTACCCGCAGTCACAAGGGCAGGCTCGAAGCCCAGAGGGCCACAGAGCCGGGCCTGCTAAGACCACGAAGCTCTCCGCTGCCTCCTCCCCGCCTCCCCGCCCACTCCCTCTCCATCTCCCCCTCCCGGTCCCTCTGGCCGCTCCCTTCCTCGCTCTCCCTCCCCTCGCAGGGGCCAGGCGCTCTGGAACCACAACCATGGGGCGGGGGGCAGCTGAGCATCAGGGCTGCTGGGAAGGCGGGAGGGAGAGCGGTAGAGCGCAGGGTGCCAGCTCCCGAGGCTGCTCCCTGTGACACCATACGCCCGCCGACACCCACAGACCATGCGCTCAGAGTGAACCTCAATGTAAACTATGGCCTTTAGTTAAGGGCCACGTGTCAGTCCTGGCTCCTCCACTGCAGCAAGTGCGCTCTGCTAACGCCAGACGTGACCACAGGGGAAAAGGGTGCATGTGCAGGGGGCATGCACGGAACTCAGTGTACGCTCTGCTCAAACACAATGTAAACCTAAAACTGTGCCAAAGATAGAGTCCGTTAAGCGTTACAAACAACTATGTGAAATTCGACTTCCAGGGGACACAATGAGGTTGTAAGAACGGCAGAGTCGAGGAATTGCAACAGAAAGCACATGACCCAAAACATTTACTCTCTGGACCTTCACAGAAGCTGTTTGCGAAACCCTGCTCTGCCATCAAAGGGCAGGGCCGCCTCATCACGCGCTGTCCTGGGCTAAGCCGCTCAGTTAAGTCACCCAGTGGCTGGGTCACAAAAGGTACTAATTACATCACCTGACTCTTTCAGTTCAATTGCTCGGTTTCTGGTAAACAAAACAAGTCAATGAAGCACTTCCAGAAGAAGACCCCGTGGTTCACTGAGAAACTCCCGCAGACTGCAGCGCCCCACTCCACGGCGGGCAGACCCACCCGGCCTGCTGAGCACCCGCAGAGTCAGGGGTCGGCGTCCCACTGACGGCAGGTTGGCAGCAGCTAGGGAAGAAAGCCGGGCAGCGGGCGCGTTCCAGGAGGACAGCCAGCACCGCCGAGACCTGAGGGCCCGCCAGACGACGTGAAGACCAGGAGACGCCCGTTCGGACTGGGAAACGCAGTCTGGGGGTCGGGGACCACCTGTGGCGCAGTGCTACCAGGAGGCGCCCAGTTACAGCTCTAGAAGCATCGTGAAGAGTCCGCGGTTCCCTAGGTGACAAGACAATCCTGCCCACCCGACGCAGTGGGGCATCTGGGTAAGAATCCAGTCCTAGAAATAATTTCCGGAAGCGGTGCAGCTCGGTGAGGACAGCTCGGGCGGTGGGGCTGTGGCACTGCAGCCCTGCTCCTGCCCACCCCCCCGCCCCGGGCTCCAAGGCCCAGCGTTCATTCCCCTCGGCCTCAGTTTACTCATCAGTAAAACAACAGGACCTCGCTGGGCTGTTGGGAGGACTCAGGCAGACAACGCACGCAAGAGCTCAGCAGGGCGCCTGACACAAAATGCTACGTGGCGTCTGTTCTCATTTCTACTGTAGCTGGCTTGGGGAAAAACTCTTGGAATAGATGGTCTGAAGATCCTCCAGCAACTCACAGAAAATCTACCCAAGGGCTGAAACAAATCTTAACAGCACATAATTTAAAAGAAGTTCTACCTTTAGAAAATCAAGTGAGGGCTTCAGCTCAGTAAATGGAATTGAGATCACACTCTTGCTACTAAGAATGATGGTCCAAGGGGAAGAACAAAGACCCGCCTGGGTGACCCCCAAATCCCAGAGCTGGGGAAAGGTGCAGGCTCAGCACAGGCCACTCCGAGGCCCACGCAATCCCAAATTCCCACTGAAGCCCGAGGGAAGCGTTGGCATCAGGCCTCGGACCGCGAGCGGGTTCGGTGCCTTACCAGTGAGATGGCGACATTCCTCCCACACCACCCGTCGCGACCACAAACCCTGAGGAACTCTCCCTAGAACGATGCGCGGCAAGGAAACACGGGGCTCCATGTGGAGAGCAGTCACGGCTGCGCGGCGATGGACGCGGCCGGCCAGCGGGCCGTGGCCGCGGCGCGGGTCTCTGCTTCTCCCCTAAGACAAACGGACCTCACCCAGAGCAACAGATGGCAAATCATGACCCACGAGACAAACATCTGTTGCACACTCATTCTCACGCACACAAGCACATGCACTCATGTACACGTGCACACACGCGTAGTGCACAGGTGTGCTAGAGACAAACACACACGGCCCACACATACGCATATACAAACGCACAGACACGCACACATGCGCGCACACGTACGCGGGTTAGCACGCACAGATACGCACGCAACATCCGCACACACGCCCACGCAAGTAGACATGTAGTACACGGGTTTGCAAAAGTACACCTACACATGCGCCCACACACGTACACGCGCGCGCACGTACACACGAACATATGTAGCACACGTGCGCGCGCCCCCACGTACAGACACGCGCACACACTCCGCGGCAGTCGCCCATCCCACGCTCCGCCACCGCCCTCCGGCCCGACGTCGCCCGGGAACGACGCCGTCCTCGCCCCACAAAACCCCCGCCTGGTGCGTCCCCAGGCGCCACAGCGACAACGGACAGTCATCCCCACCCGAAGCCGGGCCGCGGCCGGCCGGACCCGCCCGCCGGACCCTCAGGACCACGGACGCGAGCCGCGCGCGGCCCTCGCTCCGGCAGACCGTCCCCACCTGTCACCGCCGCGGGCGCGGAGGAGGAAACCGAGCCTCCCGGTCCCTTCTCAGCCCCCACTCACCCCAGTCCTCGTCCGGCCGCGGAGGCAGCACCGGGCTGAAGGGCGACTCCATGGTGCCGGCAGCGCCGCCCGCGCCCCCAGACACGCGGTCTTTCCCTGGAACTCGGAGACTAACGCCGGGACGGCGGCGACCGGCGGACAAAATGCTGCGCAACGCGGGAGCGACGGTGGCCGAGCGCGGACAAACCGCCGCAGCGCGCGAGGATCCCGTGCGAGCCCGAGCGGGGCCGTTCCGTCCTGGCTGCGGCGACTCCGACGCTCCCTTCCGGGCTGGCCGCGCCTGCTGTCCCGCTGCTTAGAGGGAGAAGATGAGACATGTCAATAGTGCGTCGGTGAAACCAAAGCAACTGAGGCCATGAAACCGGAAAAGTAACTCCCCTCCCGTAGTAACTGAGCTCGCCGCCAGGTGGGCACTCGAGTGGCCAGGCGACCACTTACTAAGTCCTGTGATGGTCTGACCGCTGCGCGGCACGCCCGAAACCACCGTCAAGTAATTCCGAGGGTCCACGGAAACTGGCAAATTAGAAATAAAGAAGGAAAAGTGATGTCACATCGCGAACACGCGGGCTGGCTTCCTGAAACTGCTCTTCAGAGGGGCTCCGGGCGAGTCGGTGGCAGGGTCCCCGCCGAGCTCGCCACTTACGTCCAAGCCCTCCGCGGGGTCGCGGGGGCGCGCGGGCGCGCGGTGGGTGTGAGAGAAACGCGCCCCGCACGGAGCCCCGGGCCCGACCGCGGGGAGGAAGCCCCAGGACGCGCGCGAACGAACGAATGGGACGGTCCCTGCGGCCGGGACGCGCGAGGCGACTCCCTGCGCGCCCCCACGGCGAGGTGCGTGCCCTACCTTTTCAGGACGGCAGCTCCGTTTTGTGCAGAAGAAATTAACTCGGACCCAACGCCCAACTGATTTTTATAAAACAGTTCCGAGAACGCAACTGAATAGGATTTGTTCTTTACGCGTGTTCGGCGGGCGACGTTTAAAACACCCTGCCTTAGGAACACGTATCCCTTACGGCCGAGCGCAGTCTTTCCCACGGTCAAAAAAAAAAAAAAAACAAACACACACCACACACACACACACACGCACGCACGCACGCACAAAACCCCACTCTTCCCAGAATCCTCGGCGCGCCCGGCGGGGCGGTTACAGCGGGTTGCGTCATTGGCGACCTGGAAACAGCCCCGCGGCTGCTGCCCCGGTCGGTTTACTGAGCGGCTCCCATCCGGCTGAAGTTTGTAACACTTTTATTCTCACCCAACTTCAAGTTCAAAAACTGACGTGAAAACTAAAACAAAACGAGCGAGAGTCCTCTATTCTCTATCCACCGGGTACCGTAGCCTTTTTTTTTTTCCTTCTCACTTCAGTCTTTTTTTTTTTCACCGTAGTCTTTTTTTTTTTTTTAATCGCCATGACATCAGGAGGCACAAAATTTCTAGTTATCTCACTGTTAGAGAAGCTAAGATTTATTGGTGAGTTCAGGTTCTTTTTTCTTTCGAAGTCAACTTTTTCTTCTCGTTGTATTGCAATGGCTGGGACCCTGCTACAGTATTGAAGGTACAGGCAAAATTAGCATCTTTTCATTCGTTCCCAACTGTAACATGTAAATTTTAAGTGTTACCATTAAATAAGACCTTTTTTCTTGGGGGAAAATTGAAAATAAAAGTAGTCTGAGCCCTGCAAATATTGGTAAGGTGTCCAACTAGTGCATTTTCAACTTAGTTTAAAAATTGCATTTCAGCCGTTCTTCTAGATTTTACATTTTCAGTGTGGCATCTTTAGGACATGTATCGCCCTGAACTGTGATCCCATAGAATATAGAGGTAGAAGCTCGGCTCTGGGAGTTAGTCAAATCCTGGTTCTAATGCAGGTTCAACCACTTGGGAGCAATGTAACTTTGAGGAAGTGCCTTAATCTTCTTAAGCTTCAGTTTCACCTGTCAATGGGAGTAACAGGATTGATTTCTGTTGTGAAGCTCCGATCAGATAACACCCATTAAGTGCTTAGTGACTGGCACGTGGTAAGTGCAGTAAGCGCTCAATCAACTGCCGCTTTTTTAAGGAAAAAAATGTTGACTGCTCCTAGCTAGGCATTATCCTAAATTCTTTACATGCATTATATCACAAAAGTGCTCCTAACCGGGTGCGGAGGCACGTCATCATCTTCATTTGCGTAAGAAAGAACTGAGGCTAATGCTAGTGAGACAATCTTGTGAGAAGAGACCATTTTTAAAAAGATTTTCCAAAGAACTGCTCCCTCTCAGGAAGACGCTGCTGTGCGGAGCCAGACGGTTAGAGCCCCTGGTTGCCTGACTCCCACGTGGGTGCCGTCTGCCGTCACCGACCGGTGCCTGGGACCCAGGTCCAGAGGTTGTTCTCAACCAAGGAGTAAACCCAAACCTTCTCCGTTGATTTCCTAAATATTACAAAAGAAACCGTTCCAACTGTTTGTGTTTTTAGAACAAAGGCAAAAGGATTTCCTTTCTCTCTACCCCCCAAAAGATAAACATTAAAGGACTTGCAATCTGAAAATTTTGCTCAGTTTCACAAAACTTCAAAATTCACATGGTTTCACCCAAGTCATTCGTTAGCCAATACAAAGTACCTTTCAAACAATGCATTGCTTTGTCTCTGCTCCTGGCTAGAACATAAATTACAAGCAGCAGGGGTTTGATCCGGTTTGTCCACTCTGCCATCTAGAACCGTGCCCATACAGACGCTCAGCAAATGCAGGGCAGGGCAAACGTAGCTTTACGGTCGTTCATATGGAAAATAATACAACTAATAATAATACAATAATAAACTGTTTTACGTACTCACAACTATAAACCTATTTTGCCCCACCCTGTATTTACCGAATTGACAAACGTCAACTTAAATAATCTCTGTGCTGATGCTAGTGTGTACAGGCAGTAATTTGAGGTACACAAAACGGGTGCAACTCAATTACTTTACCTGCAAAGGTGGCAGCTTCACAAGGTTCAACCCAACTGGTTTTAAAAGCTTTCTGCAGTACAGTATCATGAAGCATATTGTGAAAGCTAAGACAGAAATGGAGAAATTTTTTCCTGTAAGAAAATTATATGAAAGTTGCCAAAGGCCTCAGGCCGTATGTCGAGATAATGTCACCAACCATCTGTTATACCCCCACACATTTCAAAAGTAAAGTTAGCATTTAACGGGATCGTTCTTTTTTTTTTTTTGCATTTAAAATAACGCCCATTTGGGGGTTTGTATTCATATAGACACACTGGCGAGTGTAAATACGCAGAATGTCTTAAGAACATGGGCGCTATTTCTCTTAATTGCCTAATTCTGATTTCACGTTGTGTTCAAATATCTAATTTGGCCCAATTCTAACCATTTGTAATGAGTAAAGAAATGAATTTCCAAAAATCGTGTTAACACACGAACCTGGACACCCTAACCTTCTAATACTCTATAACATATCAAGCTTAAGAAGGTAACTGAATTGCAGTTATTTCACATTTATTTTCTCTATCACTAGAAACACACCTACCAGTAATATATGTCTTTAAGCAGATGACTTAAGTCGGTATCTTAAACACGTTTTTCTAAGACGTCCGGTGGCCGCGCTCCCCGAAGGGACAGAAAAGCTGCCCTGTAGTCAGTGCTTCCCTCGTGGCCTTTCCGTCTACATTTCCAATAAACATTCCAGACACGCAGAGGTTTACGGTCTCTTAAGGGAGAAAGAGAAATAAATGTCCAAACGCCCCAACCAATCTGTGTTACATTCCTAGATATAAACGTGTATCTAGGCCCCGACTGCCGTGGCTCAGGGGGCTGGGCGCCGTTCCAACCGGCGCGATTCCCTCGGGGCACAGGCCTGGGTGGCAGGCCCGGTCCCCAGGAGGGACATGCCCGCGAAGCAGCAGGTCAACGTTTCTCTCCCTCCCCCGCTCTGTAAAAATAAATAAAACGAAGAAAGTATCCGGGTTACAGAGTATTTTAATATCCAACAAAGTATAATTTACATGATTAAAAAGTTTCAACTTCCACGTGAAGGGTTCTCCTTAGACACCGTGTCCAAGTCACATCAGGTGCCTTCACCGCCTCACATTCCCCATAAACGCCGGCGGGCCCGACACCAGACTCTGCGGGAGTGGCGGGGAGCGAGCAGCCGGTACCGCCGGCAAGTTCCCTCCAGGCTCTCAGGTGCCACACGCTCACGCTTTTCTCGACTGCGATCCCAGACGCGGGAGCGGTCGCTCTTCGTCCACTCGGTTCTTATGGATTTGGAAAGCAGGTGTTACCCACCTACCACAGGAGCACTGTTCGCCGCACCAGTTGAAAGAACCCAGCTTGGCATTGCATTTGGGGCACAGGAGCTGAAATAAAGCAAATGCATTCCTTCATTCGTTTTTGTACAGAGCAGTTCTCTTTGGCAACACGGGATATGAGAACAAAACATAGCCCCCACCCTGCACGCAGTTCATGATCTAACCAATGAGGTAAAACAGTGCGGCGACTTCCTACCATGGCTGTGTTAAAGAACAAGGCTGCACCCCGGGAGGTGTGCAGCGGGCCTACTTAGAGTGCGGACGGAGAAAGGTGAAGCTTGAGACATGAAACAGAAGGTTTCACAGGCATGGCACACGTGTTGGCTTTTCTATCAGTCTGCAACTTAAGATTTCAAACGAAAATCACTGCAGCTACGGGCAGGAAATCATGTTAGGATATCTAACATGTTCTGTTACCTACAGATATTAACAGTCTATAAGTTAGTTCTCAGATTCCCGCCTATTTAAAACACAAACTGATACTCCAGTAAAATAGATAAAGTCAAAAATGCTTAACAAGTTTACTGTATTTTCTTTTAAGGTATCTACAGCCGAACTCGAGTTAAAATATGGTTTAAAACGCGAGAAGAAACAAAACAGAGGCGCTTTAATGAAGCCGGAAGATGAGAGGTGCCCTCACCTGTCCGTCCATCACTCCTAGCAGGGCGGGCTCCATCCACTGCACAGGCTCAACAAAGTGTGAGGTGCACTGAGCCGGGCCCCCCGGGGCGGGTGCGAACGCAGGCATCAGCCTCTTGTGGGCGAAGGCTACGGGACCACTCCCTTCCTTATGATCCAAAATGCTAGAACTTCGGAATAAAGACCGCCTGCCACCCCCAAACAAAACAAAAACAGATGAAACGTGCAATACTTCCTGAAGGGCAAAAACAACATGCTGTTGCTTGTGCTACTTTAATTTTCAGTAGTCTCTACTGGGGACTTGATTGCTTTTCCTGCTGAGGATGTACGTTCTTGAAAGCAGATTTAAATTTGAAATCCCTATAGCATTCGGCTAAACAAATCCTTCCCACAGAGATTTAGGAAACTGAAACTTCCAGTCCTTTTCAGCTGCAGAGACAAAGTGAAATCTCTGGAAAATACAAAATATTTTACCTGCACTTCCTACATTTGTAGAGAATCTCATCTTTCAGTCCTTGTGGAACCGTAGTTGGGTCGACAGCAAAGAGGTCTTGGGGTAAGTTCTGCAGTTCTACATGACAATGAAAATGTGTCCATTGGTTGAAATCAACTCTCTGCGTTTTCAGACAAAATTCAGTTAATGTCAAATTGAGGCAACAAGTGCTCACCTCAGAAATTTAAAGAAAAAAAAAGGCCTCCAATTCTGAGAAAGCAGGATGAGGCAGGACAGCCCTTGGTTTCTGGGCACAGGCTGCCTCAGTTCAAATCCCACCCATGAGTCACAATCCCACCTGACCCTGAGCAGGGTATTTCTTGCTGAACCACAGTTCTGAAAAGAAATGCTAGGATCTGCCTCTAGGGATTGCTGGAAAAATGTGATAATGCGCAGAAGTCTTTAGCCTCAGAGGAAAGAGCTTCTAGAAAGGTTCCCATACATCCTAGCAATGGTTACAAACCTGGGTACTTCTCTGTAACCTTTTGTAAACGATATTGCTTATAAATTGCACTAGAAGTATCGACTTCGCATCCCATGGCCTGGTATAATTTCAGTTGCCACTCAAACCCCTCGTTCATCCTGTGAAGGCAAATACAAAGTTAAGTTGTCTTTAAATAAATAAAATCATGCCACAAGAGCAGAACGATCACGCTAACCAGAAGCTCACTTGGCCTCGGGGTGGATCGTCCGGAGGTTTTCATAGGCCTTTTCAAAGGTGAGCTGCTCAGTCTTCATCAGAAAGGCAGTCATGACAGCGACACTTCGACTGACTCCCGCATGACTTAAAATAAAATAGAAAATAGAAACAATTAAAAAAAAAGCGCGCACTACTAATGGTAAAATTCAGGTTCACGTGTCTGCTTCAAACCCTTTGTCCCTGAAACACTACCGATGTGCAAAAGAATTGTTCTTTTATTTCTTTACTCCTTTGGAATTGTGAACCATGTGAATGTATCACATATCCAAATATAATTACAGTATATTTTAAAATGCCCTAATGCCTGCGGAACACCTTGCAACTTTCTTCGCTGCGGGCGCGAAGGGCCGCGGAGACCCGGGCTGAGGCTTGTCTCCCGTCCCCGCCTGCTGCACCGGCTCCGTGCGTCCCAGCTGGGTCGTCGCACTGCAACCCGGCCAGACGGGGCGCCGAGGAATCCCAGACACCCGTCCCGGCCCTCCCGTCGTTCGCCGTCGCTGCAGCCCCCTCTCCGCCCTGGGCACGGCTCGGGTACCCCGTGCGTTCTCTCCCGCTTCCGCCGCGCCAGCCACCACGCCCCGGACAGACACACTGAACACAAGGTCCACCCGGGGCGGGAGCCTCCGCCGCGCCCCCGCCTGCGTCACCGTCACCTGCCGGAACCTCGTCCGCCGATGCTCCCACCCTCCCCCGCCCCCAAAATAAAAAAGCTGCAAAGCCAGCCCACGGCCTGTCCGCGCACGGCTGCGGCCCGCCCCGGCAGCCCGCTCACCAGCGCACCAGCACCGCGCGACCCTCGGCGCGCGCCTGGCGCACGAAGGCCACGCAGCCGTCCAGGCGGCTCAGCAGGTCGGTCCCGGGCTCGTCCAGCGCGCGCACGAAGAGCCGCCGCAGGTCTGGCCCCGGGAGGTCGGGCTCCTCCGCGTCCACGGTCAGCACGGCCGTGACGCCCGCCTCCCTCAGGCTGCCCGGCTCCATCGAGGCCGCCGCCCCGCCCAGGTACAGCCCCGGCCGCACCTGCAGCATCCCAGCCGCGACCCACGTGGCGGCGCCGGGACCCGCGGCCGCGCCTGCCACTGAGGAGCGGCTGGGGCGGCTAGAGCGGCCGCACTTGCCATCGAGGAGCGGCTGGCGCGGCTAGAGCGGCCCCGCCGGCCGCGCTGCGCAGCGGCGCCCTCGGAGGACCCGGCCGCGCGCGGCAGGTGCCGCGGGGGAACGCGGCTTCCGCCCGGACCCCAAGTTCGGGCGGAGGGTCAACCCCTTGCAACGCAAGGCTCCCCAGCGTTTTGGAGCTGGGACTCCCCAGACTTTGCGCAGCAGCCGCTGAAGTCGACTTTGAAACCATGGTCCTACCGCCGAATCAGCAGCATCGTTCCATGCACTTAAAGTAAAACATTGCTTCCAACGCTTCTAACGCCATTTGTTTGTAGTTCCTCTCCTGCGACTATTTTTTCCTTTTCCCTCCCTTTTGCCCAGTTTTTAAAAATTGGTGTGTGAATCCTTTTTTGTTGCTGTCTACTGTTCTATATTTTAAGGTACTAATCCTGTGTCTTTTCAAGAAAGGTGGGACCACAGCCAGAGGAAAACCTGGACTTAAGGGGCGTTTCTTTCCCCTCCACCCCCACCCCCACCCTCACCCCCACCTCACGGCAAAGACTTGAACCTTTTTTAAAAGTGCAGGGAACAACCAGGACAGAGGGAGGAGCCACCGACACGGGAGGTGATGAATTGCGGGTGCAGGTGCTAACTAACGGGCAAGACGCCAAAGGAGCTCTCTTCTAATGGCTTCTGTTTTCTGAGCCAAGAATCCAGTTCACACGCTCGGGGTGAGGACAGAGGTTTGAGAAGAATAGCCAGTTTGAGAGAAAACATAATTCCCCGAAAAGATTGGAGAATAGATGTGGAAGCTGACCTGTGGGATTGGCAGGGAGGCGGGCGGGGGCCCAGGTGGGCGTGCCTGGCACGGTCTGCGTGTGTGGGTTCTTGGCTTCGTGCGGGAAAGAATGCAAGACAGGAGCCCAGGCATCGTGAGAGGGCGTTTATCAAAGCTGGCCACGGTGAGGGGCAAGGTCTCAGTGACAGGAGCCAGCCCCGCCGGGCTGCGCGGACGCAGGAAACAAGTCACGGGGCGAGAGGAGGCCCCCGGAGCCGGGTTGGGGGGTGCCCACGGCCCCTCAGCTGCGAGTCTGGTGGGAACCTTTAGGGCTCAGGAGAAAGACGGCAGAAGTGCCTCCCTGGGAAAGGAGGGGGGGTGGGCTGCCTGGGTCTTTTTTCTGAGGGGTTCTCATCTGTTTCCTACAGAAGGGGCTTTTCGGGGAGACCTCGGGGGAGGGTCTCTCCAGACTATGCCACAGCGGCCCAGGTGTGCGCTCCGATGTGCTGGTGCATCCAAACGCACGTGTGGGGGCGTTGGGGGCGTTCTCCGGTCAGGTTCCTGGCTCTGCTTTTGTCCTGGATGTGTCTGGTGCTGGCGGGTCGGTCAGTCAGTTGGTTGGTCGGCGGGTGATTCCCCCGACTTCCTCTGTCCCGGGGTCTGAAGGGCACTAATGGTGCTAACCGGGCCTCTGTTACCTCCTCCTGCCCAGGGCGGTGGAAGCTTCTGGCTCTGCACCTGGCAAGGGGAGGCATAAACCATCTGCTCCCAAGTGTCCTTGTTCCGGGAAGTTAAGACCCTGCGATTTATTACCAGGCTGTTACTTGCTCGACCTTGTGTAACTACCTTGTTTCAGTTTCCCTCACTCCACCTGCCCAGGAATCCCCTGGCTTCCGCCCATCCCGCCTCGGCAGGCAGCCAAGCGCCGGTTGGGTCGGCCGGCCAGCGTCCTGGTCACAGAGACAAGAGGCTTCTGTGCAGCGAAGGGCCAGTCCAGCCGGCCCAGTGGCTGCAGCCCCGCACGTCCCAGAAAGCCTGTTCTCTGGACGTCCAGGCTGCCCAGCTCCCCGGGGTGAGCCCGGGGCCTGAAAAGATGCTGGAGGCCCTGGGTCAGGCTGGCCACGCCTCTGGGGGCTGCAGGCCGGGCAGCGACGAGGCTGGGCACAGGCCTCGGTGACTGCCCCCCGGGAGAGGCCCTGCCCCCAAGGCCTGAGGGAGCGTCCTGCCTGGCAGAACAGAAAATGCTGGAAGGGATTCCCCACACCAAGAGGTCATTTCCGGGAGCCGGCAGGAGGGAGGCCTATGGGATCGGATTTGTACGGCTTCTCTCTACGTAGTTTTTCTTTCTTTCAACCAGTGCCATTAAAGCGGTTTACTGTTAGCAATTATAGGTGGTTATACGCTGGGGGAGGCGGGGAGGGACTGGTAAAGGTTCATGTCCTGGACATTTTATTAAGGCTCCTAAGCATTCCCTCAGCTGTGTTGGTTTTCTGTTGGAAGTGAGCTTTACTTTCTCAGCGCCCTCAGACGGCCATAAGCTCCTTCAAGGGTGGGAGTAGGCACACGTCTGAATTGTTACCGAGCACCCACGGGGCCGGATAAGTAGTGGAGATGCCTTGGCTGGAGGCCCCGTGTGTCTTTTTCACTTTCTGTAGTCGTGCTCTTGGCCACTAGGTGGCACCATTTCTCCACCAGGGAGATGAACGAGGAAGCTGCCCCCCCCCCCCCCCCCCCCACAAAAAACCCTGGAATTTATTTATAAAAAATTGTGTATTTCTTCCTACACGTTTACACTGCAGTCACCTTCAAAGTGCTCTCCATTCGACGCACTACACCCATCAAGACGTTTTTCCACCGCAGCGAACAGTCCTTGAGCGCCTCGATGTCGTTTACTGCTTCTGCCATTTTTTGTTTCACCTCTTCCACTTCGGCAGAACGCTTCCCTGTGAGGACCTTTTTCATCCAGGGGAACGAACAAAAGTGGCCGGGGCCAGGACTGAGTGAATAGGGAGGGTGGGGCGCAGAGGTCCTGCCGTTTGGGGTCAAAAACTGCTGACCACTCAGCGTGCTGTGGGCAGGCGCGCTGGTCAATCGCCCGCCGTGAAATGGGTTAACACATTGAAAGAGTCTTCAGAAAAATTCATGAAGCTGAACGCAGCCTCTCACAACAACACCCGCTAGTGCGCGGATGTAGACGGGTTCCCAGACCCCCCCGCCCGGCCGGGAAGGCCTGGGCCGCAAGGGGCCCGCCCTCCAGAGGGCGATCCTGGGTTTCGCGGGGGCCTCCTCTTGTGTTTTCAGCACCTCCCTTGAAACAGGGGAAAATGAAAGTGGGGGCCTGTAAGAAAAGCAGGCTGGGCCTCGGGAAGGAGACGCCACGTCCGGAGGGGGCCGGGGTCGCTGCCCGTCAGCGGGAGGAGACGGGCCTCTGTCCTCTGGCTGGAACCCACACCACGCACTTCCATTGTATCGCCAGGGCGTACAATGTATCTCCAAGGTGTACCCGCCACCTTGGAGAGTGTGGATTACGTAGAACTTCCACTGTCTAAGAGACCATCCGGCATGCGGGGCTTGCCTTCTAACGGGGGTGGCACCCACTTTACATAACGGGGCCGGACCCTCCCCCCGGTGCCCCCACCCTTTGGCCATAGTCATATGTAGGATTTTCATCTTTCATAACATGTGCTGGGAAACAAGCGGGGATATTTCCCCTCCTCTCCCCTATTGCGGCCCCATCGCAGTCCCAAGACAAGTTCCTCTTTCTGTCCCCGGCGGCGTGTGGTCCGGACCCTCCCACGCCCACGGAGTTATCAGTAAATGTTTGGGGGTTAAGCTCTTGGACACCAGGAAGATGCAGGTGAAACATACTTTGAGGCCTTCGAATAAAAAAGATATAAGTGGCCCCGGCTGGTGCGGCTCTGTGGACCGAGCGCCGGCCTGTGAACCAAAGGGTCTCTGGTTTGATGCCCCGTGAGGGCACAGGCCTGGGCTGCAGGCCAGGTCCCCCGTAGAGGGTGTGTGAGAGGCAACCACATAGGGATGTTCCTCTTCCTTTCCCTCTCTCTAAAAATAAATAAGACCTTTAAAAAAAAAAGATATAAATGAGCGATAATACCATAATTCTATACTTTTGCTTGTGCTTGTGAGTAGAAGGCAGTTTACCTACAGAACGGTGAGCCCAGGTTTGTCTTGAGGGGTGCAGTCTGAAGCCAGAGAAAACCTAGGTCTGAATATAAAGCCGAGCTGGCTCTGGCACCTCCTGGCACATGACCGTGTGCGTCGAGAACATTGTGTGCTTTCTGTAAGTATCAGTTCCTTCATCTGCAAAACAGGAGAAAGCAGAGCCTTCTTGCAGAGTCTACCATTGAGCTTAATAAACTGGGTGGCAGGGGCCTGTTGGCTTCCCCAGGAAACTACAGCTTCACACACTCCCGGGGTTGTAGCGTTGTGCTCCACCAAGGGGGTGAACCCCTCCCTCCCCACCCCCGCCCTGGTACTGGATTCTTGGGGGGCACAGGAGGAGGCGCTGGACCATAGAGGCCTGTCAGTCCCACGAGGTGGTGGACCTTTCAAAGCCTGTGAAAGTTTGCGAAGTTGATTGGTCATTTATTTTTATGGTGGGTTCCAAACCCCAGCTCCTGGTTATAACCCCAGGGGAACAAAGCAACTCTCTCTCTTCCTCGAGACCCACATCACACGTGCACACCCCTGTTCTCTCCACGGCCACGGGGCACCACACCAGGCTCTGGGGTGGGGGGGTGTCCTGAACGCTGCAACGCAGCCATGGACGGCAGCTGGAAACACAGGCTGAGCTGGCCGGATGCTGGGCTGGACTGGGCTTTAACATGGAGCAGAAGCTCCGGGCACTGGCCTCCATCCTGGCCGTCCTGAGGACAAGCTGGCCTTTTCCCACAGTGAGACGGACAGAGGGGGACGGTGGAGGTGAGGAGGGGACGCCCCGCGATTGCACATCATCAACAAACCACCCACCCTCCCATGTGGGTCTCAGGAAATTCTTCTCCTTTAGACGCTGCAAGAACCCCCACTCCCACCAGTGACACTGTTGTGGGGAGAACATCTCAGGCGGAACCACTGCTCCAGACGCAGCTCGGAGGGGACAGAGCAGGGGACAGAGCCAGGAGGGGGAGGGATGCTGTGAGGACACTGGCAGGGGGAGCCGCTGGCCTGGCAGCCCAGGGAACTGGGGGGGGG